CATCTTGATGTTACACTCATCAAGAGCTTTCATTTGAGTACCCACATGCATTTTTGATATATTTTTCATATAAACATATATATGATATATTTAAATATATAAATATATGAAAAATTGATGTGGGTACTCAAATGAAAGGTCTCGATGACTATAATGTCGAGGTGAGCTTATACTTAGAAAATGTCAGTTCATAAGATACAAAGTCAGTTGATAATTATATAGATTAAATTGTAAAAAATTTTCTATAAACTCCAGTGTCATTTATTTTTGATAGACTGAAAAAAAAGAATTATAAGTATTATTATTAAAAAATTACCAATTTTTTTAATTATAAAACTAATAATTTTTTTTTATTTTACTAATAGTCATGTTTAGACTGTATGACACTGACGGAAACGGTGTTCTTGATACTAATGTAAGTATTTATTAATTTCAAAATTAATTAATCAATTTTCACTTTTTTAAAAAATATAATGCATTAAAAAATTCTTAATTTTTGTCACCAGGAAATGGATTGCATTGTCAATCAAATGATGAACGTAGCAGAGTACCTCGGATGGGATGTATCAGAATTAAAACCCGTGAGTTAAAATTTAAAATATATAAGATAATAAAAAAAATTGATGATATATTCAAAAGAAGAATATGTTTTAGATAACAATCTTATCATCTCATTTTTCTGCGGTTGTTACATAAAATCTTTTTATTTTCATAAATATAATCCTAAAAGCATATAAGATCTTAAAGCAATATTTTATATGAGGTACGGAGAAATTTATTCACCCGGTCATTCGGTACGAAGTACGGAGCATTGTGCAGCCGTAATTCTATTTAACTTCGATGATCCATCGTTGTTCTACGGGTCTTGGGTCTATTCAGCTGTCAGCTTATCTGAACACTACATAACTAGATTCTTTTATCTACTGCTAGATAGGGTCCATAATAAACAATGCTACTTACGGATCTTATAGACTCATCAATAAAACCGTGATTTCATACCTATCGACTTAAATTCATCATGGTCATAAATATATCATTGTTGGAATATTTTAAATATTTTTTTTCGGATATGCAAAATTTAAATTTTTAGCTTTAATTATCACACTGATAAAAGGATTTATTAACTATTAATAATTTAATTTATTTGAAGACAATTATTTAATTTTAATAAATATTTTTAATTCGCCGTGTTTGCTAAATACATTTGTGATCAATTTTTATAAAATTAAATACTTTATTACAATAAATAAGTATTTAATATCCAAGATTAATTATCAATTATTGTTGGAAAAATTTACATGGTCATCCAAGTATGACATAAAAAAATTAATAATGAAGATTGCACTTTGAATAATTTATAGAAAAAAATGTCGATTCATCCATTTACCGTCTATGTTATCATTATCAACTAATCGTATCATTAAAATGGAAATTCTACACTATACATTTGAAGTGATTAGTGATAATTCTAGATTTGAATAATCATAACACAGTTACATTACATATTTCACCCCTAGATATCATAAACATTTCAAAATTTCTATCGTGAATTTATAATTTAAAATCATCGTTACTACATCAATAATTTTTTTTTTTTTTTTATAGATTTTACAAGATATGATGATTGAAATCGATTACGACGCTGATGGAACGGTTTCTTTGGAAGAATGGAAACGAGGTGGACTCACAACAATTCCACTTTTAGTACTTCTGGGCTTAGATTCTCATGTCAAAGAAGATGGAAATCATTTATGGAGATTAAAACACTTTAATAAACCAGCTTATTGTAATTTATGTCTTAATATGTTGGTTGGACTCGGAAAAAAAGGATTGTGCTGCGTTTGTAAGTTAAAAAATCATTTAATAATTTTTTTAAAATAGTAGTTTGGTAACTTGAATAATTTTTTCGTCTTTTGTTTTTTATTATGATTATTCATTAAATTTTTTGAAAAAATATTCTTAAAATTTTTATAAAAAATCAATTATTATAAAAAAAATATTTAAAAAAATTCGCATTTACAATTTTTTAAAATTTCTACTTGTAGAATTTTTTGCTAAATTTATTTCATTATAATTTAGTTGTAAAAATTTTTTAAATTGTTAATATTGTGAATTTTGGTATAAAATTTTCACCTTTAATATTTTTTACTTTTTAAATAATTAAGAAGAAAAAATTCAATTTAAATTACCAGACTATTTAGTACTTAATCACTCTATTGATACACTAGCGCAAATTCAAATAGAAAACCATCATAAAAAATAGCCTATATTAATAAAAATTTCCAATAATCGTATTATAAAATATTAATAAAAAATAAACTGAAATAAATCTTAAAATATGCTAAGTATGCTAAGTATGGATGGCAATAAAGATAATAAAGATACCTTATCACCTGATTATACAAACATCCATGCTCAATAACAATGTCTCATACAATTGCGGAAATAGGGTATTATCTCATAAAAGATCCGTTGTATTCTTATGTACAATGCGTTTCATTGATTCTTTACGGTCGGAAATTTTACAGAAAATGGAAACATCAAATTTTGGAAATCTGTGAGTAAGGAAATCAATAAATGAAAAATATGGAAAAATAAGATTTCAGAAATAATAAAAAAATAATGTGTCTTATTGAGGATACTTTGCAATATCGATTAGTTTGTTATGTCCAAGGGCGTTTTTAGGGCGGTAGCGTAAACGGTGGAGGTTTGGACTAACAGTTTAAAGAATACACAACGGAGGTTTTAATTCCGTTGTTTAATTATTTTTGTGGGACGTTTTCGCTGTACGAATTTACCACGCCTTCGTTTGAGACTGATTACGGATTTTATTGAGAATAGATGTACTTACTCTATGCAGGATTTTTAATTATTGCCGGATCCGTGATTCCGGGGCTGCTGTTAGCGCCTTTTCCTGGATTGGGCCCTCTGGTTGGTCCTTGCAGCGGATGGATTAGGATGGAATTGGGCTGCTTATTTTACGGGCTTCTTATTTTTGTGAAATGAACTGATTTAAACTGATTTCACTTTTATTTAGATTTATTGAATTAACACCAAAACTTTTACACTTTTACAAATTTTATTTTGACGTAATTTAATTTAATGAATTTTATTAATTTGATTGAGCTAACGTCCTCCAGTCCCCCGTAGGGTAAAGTGCGCAAAACTAGCTTTTAAGAAATGAATTTTGAATAAACTTAATGACCGAACTCTCGCCTAAGTGCGGAGCAAATTAGAACTTTGAGAATTCCGGTTCTCTAAAATTTTATTTACTACTTAAAATTAATACGTGGCCTGCCGGTTAAACCGCGTCCAACTTCCTTTAAGTGCAGTGCAAATTAAAGCAAAGGACTCTACAAGGCACGGGCCCGTCAACTAAACGCGGAAGTCGAATTAATTAACAAAGACAAGGCGTTGGCTGTTGATCGCCTTTTTAAATACTCGCGGTGCTGAGTTTGCAGAAGTCCCCGCTAGTCAACCAGCAGTCACGTAGCTTATATTTTACTGTGGCTTTCGCGCATGGAGAAGTCTTCCATCTGCGCGGCTGATTTGAATTTAAAAGAAAAAAAAAATTGCGGGTGGACATAACATCTTAAATCGAGAAAAAAAAGTTATCAACTCGTATATAATTTACATAAACTGAAAACAATTCCATAAACCAAGAAGTTTCTTGCGTGTTTGCCTAATTAAAAAATCTTCCACACAATTTTCATGAGTTCAATCTGCATATTAATCTGCGTACTCAGTTTTTACTAAATTATTCACAACATTAATATTTCAGTGGTTATGTCAATTAATTGGTAAATCCCGCTTTTTAATTGTTCTGAATTACTTACTTTTACGGGTAATTTATGTTAATACTGCTGACCTGTATCGTCAAAAACTAAAAATACTCGCTTTTATATATTCACAGAATATTACAGTCCAATTCTGCGTTTCAGATTCTGACAATAACTTCAGTATAGTCTGAATCATGTCGACAACTCTGAACTAGCAAACGTAACGAACACGTCCAACTGGTTATACCCAACTTATAAATAACCGCTAACCTCAAAACACGAACTCTCGGAGCCTGGTTATGAGCCAAAAACCACGACGACTCCGACATCGAACATTTTTTTTTTAAAATGCTTAAATTTTGAGTACCTTCTGTAACTCTATTCTCGCGTATTTCAGGACAACTTGTTGGTTCTATATCGATGTGTTTCTTTATAAGAAAGAGATTTAAACCAAAAACGGGTCGATTGGTCAACTAGTTCAAAAGTTATGAGCCAAAAACCAAGACGACTTAGGAATTGACCAGATTTTTAGACGAAAAAATGGCTCAAATTTCGTGTACTTCTCGTTACTCTACTCTGTAGTATTTCAGGAAGGTTTGTTGGTCCTATATAAATGTTTTATTTCACAAGGAAGAGTTCTAGACCAATAACAAGCCGATTGGTCGACTGGTTTAAAAGTCATGAGCCAAAAACCACGACGACTTTGAAATAGACTAGTTTTTTTATCAAAAAAACTGCTCAAATTGTGTTTACCTCTTTTAACTCTATTCTTGCGTATATCTAGACGACTTTCTGGTCCTATATCGATGTGTTTTTCCATATACAAGTCATTTAGATCAATCACGGGCGATTGGTCAACTGGTTCAAAATTTATGAGCTAAAAACCACGACTACTTCGGATTTGACGAGTTTTTTTAGTCGAAAAAAAGCTCAAATTTCGTGTACCTCTTGTAACTCTATTCTTGTGTATCTCAGGACGGCCTGGTAGGCTTATATCGATGCGTTTTTCATAAGAAAAAAATCTAGACTTAAAACAAGCCGATTGAACAACCAGTTCAAAAGTTATGAGCCAAAAACCATGACGACTTTGTAAATGACGAGTTATTTAGTCGAAAAAATGGCTCAAATTGTGTGTACTCCTTGTAACTCTATTTTTGCGTATTTCTGGAGTGTTTGTTGGTCCTATATCAATGTCTTTTCACATAAGGAAGTGATCTAGACCAAAATCGTGCCGATTGGTCAACTGGTTTAAAAGTGATGAGCCTATAACCACGACGACTTTGGAAATGACGAGTTTTTTAGTCGAAAAAATGGCTCAAATTGTGTTTACCACTTGTAACTCTATTATTGCTTAATTCTGGACGACTTCTTGGTCCTATATCGATGCGTTTCTACAAAAGGACGAGATTAAGACGAAAAACGGGCCGATTGGTCAACTGGTTTAAAAGTTATGAGCCAAAAACCACAACGACTTTGGATTTGACGAGTTTTTTGAGTCGAAAAAAGGCTAAAATTTTGTGTACCTATTGTAACTCTATTTTTGCGTATCTTAGGACGGCCTGGTGGGCTTATATCGATGCGTTGTTTCATAAGAAAAAAATCTAGCCTGAAGACGAGCCAATTTATGGACCAGCTCACAAGTTATGAGCCAAAAACCACGACGACCTGAAAATTGACGAGTTTTTCAGTCAAAAAAAGGCTTAAATTTTGTGTACCTCTTGTAACTCTATTCTTGCTTATTTCTGTTTAACTTACAATTTTTTTTCAACGACATACAAGGAGCAAGGTAGCAATTATTAAGAACCTCAAAAAAAATTATTTATTGAATAATAGGTCAAATATTTTGTCCATCATGACTTGATTTCTGTTTAACTTACTCGCAATGTTATTTCAAGGACATACAAGGAGCAAGGCAGCAATTATTAAGGATCTCAAAAAAAATTATATAGTGATTAATAGGTCAAATATTTTGTCAATAATGACTCGACTTCTGTTTAACTTACTTCCAATTTTTTTTCAAAGACATACTTAGTCAGAATACGTTCTTCATTGATGAAAAATGATGTGAGATCAGTTATGAGCACCGCAGCGATCATTAAGGACATTACAAAAAATTATATAGTGAATAATAGTTTAAATATTTTGTCCATTATGACTCGAAATCTTTTTAACTTACTTCCACTTGATTTTCAAGGACATACTTATTCAAAAAACTTGCTAAATTGATGAAAAACGATGGCAAATTATTTAGGAGCAAGGAAATCATTATTAAGGACCTTAAAAAGAATTGTATAGTGAATAATAGTTTAAATATTTTGTCCATTATGATTCGACATCTGTTTCACTTACTCCCTACTTATTTTCAGGGACAAACTTAGTAAAAAACGTTCTCAATTGATGGAAAAGGATGTCAAATGATGCCGGATCAAGAAAGCCATTATTAAGGACCTTAGAAAAAATTATATAGTGAATAATAGTTTAAATATTTTGTCCATTATGACTCGACATTTGTTTCACTTACTTCCTATTTATTTTCAGGGACAAACTTAGTCAAAAAACGTTTTCAATCGATGGAAAAGGATGTCAAATGATTCAGGAGCAAGAAAGCGATCATTAAGGAGCTTAAAAAAATTATATAGTGAATAATAGTTTAAATATTTTGTCAATTATGACTCGACATCTGTTTCACTTACTTCCTATTTATTTTCAGGGACAAACTTAGTCAAAAAACGTTTTCAATCTATGGAAAAGGATGTAAAATGATTCAGGAGCAAGAAAGCGATCATTAAGGACCTTAAAAAAATTATATAGTGAATAATAGTTTAAATATTTTGTCCATTATCACTCAACTTCTGTTTAACTAACTTCCAATTTTTTCCAAGAACATAGTTACTCAAAAAACGTTCTAAATTGATCGAAGAAGATTACAAATGATTTAGGAGCAAGCCAGCAAGTATTAAGGATATTAAAACAACTTATATAGTGAATAATAGGTCAAATATTTTGTCCATGATGACTCGAATTTCATTAAAATTACTTACAATTTTTTTCCAAGGACATCCTTAGTCAGAATACGTTTCACATTGATGGAAAAGAATTTGA